GCCTTAGACGATCTCACATACACAAACACACGGACCATAATATACTAGCTCTACCACACACTAAAACAAGTCAACATGCCCTACCTGTAGAAATAGCGTACTACCCTACTTTCAATAAATGGTGCCAAGTAACGGCTCTAGACTCCTATCTTCAGAACCCCAACTTACAACCATCATAGCCATTGTTCTCACTACACGGCTCAGTCCTTACGACCTCTAAATTTATGCAATGTGTCAGGTGATTGATAACCCAGCTAGGCCTTAACTCCTCTAACTATTCTAGTCATTCCTTCAGGACAGCATCCAGTGTCAACATACTTGTGCACATAGTCAAAACACTGGGGCGTTGGAAATCTTCTGCTTATACTCGTTACATACCCAAACCCGTACAAGAGATACTTAATGCCTTTAAAGAAATGTCTGGATAAGTTGTATGTATTGTTGACTGTATTAAAAAAAAATTGACCATATTTTGCCCTCTTTTATTTACAGGTCCACCACATGGTCGGTTCCGGCACACCACAACCGACTTGCTCTTTTATACTATTTTTACGCTTATACTTAGCCTTACTCCTTATACAGCTTTGTGCCCTTAACACAAGTATTAAGGCCGGTTGGCCTGTAATTGTGAGAGGGGCTTATGTGTTACTTACCTACATAAGGGAACACCTTACCTTACTCCATACTGTCCGAGGTCTCCCGATTTGCATGACCCTCCCTCTACTCCCACTACTCAACATTTCCATCTTTTCTTTTTCTTTCTTTTCCTTTTATATTCTTTCTTTTACTCCGACTTGCTCTTTTATACTATTTTTACGCTTATACTTAGACTTACTACTTATACGACTTCGTGCCCCTAACACAAATATATATATATATATATATATATATATATATATATATATAATATGCTTGTAAGAGCAGCCTGCTTCACTCTCTGGACTAGGAGACGTCTACCAACTCCACTGGTAGCTGGGTGGGTGGAGGACAGCGAGACCCCAACCAA